ATGAGCGCTGCCAGTTTGACACGTTATTTATCCTGTAGGATCGTTATTTGTGCGGCTTTATCCACTCTAATTATTGTTTCAGTCTCCAGAGGTGACTAATGTTTGTTGAGTCTAACTTCAGACCCGCGTTCATTGTTTCAATTGTTGGTTGAGGTATAAACTCTTAACGACGTGAGCTAATAGTTACCACGGGGAAGACAGGACGTTATTAACTTGGTCGGGCTTCCTTGAGTTGCAACAAATCACACAATCCCATCCAAACCATTTCGGTTGACTCCTGTTAATTGTTCGTTACTATCGGAGCTCTCCAACTATGAGTTCACTTTGACAAATCTAACCTTTTTTTAATTCTTTGATTAGCTTGAGCCACAGTAGTCGCCAGGCCTGTCAATATATTTACAGCGCTTAACCCAAGATAATTTACCTTGGTAGCACAAAACCTAGTCCAGTATGTCCAGCAGTCCAAGCCGGTCACCATTGGCTCACTGACCGCAGGGCAACAGTGTTAAACCAATAGCTCGCGCGTTTGTTCTGGTGCATATTTACAGCTTATAATTTTAGTAATTACAGCTAACACGGTTCGCATTTTCCACTTTTTTAACGAGCTCCTTTAAAAGTTGCTCTACAGCTGCCTGTAAGTGGTACCGGCGTTGTGTCCTTCCCTTTCTCTCTTGCTACTTTATTATGTAGAATATACCCAGTCTTCGACACTTTTACACTCACATTTTCTTCTACCTGTCGAATCTCTTCAAGAGTCATTAGCAGATGGTATAGGACTGACAGATTAAAAATCATATCTGTTATGATATTGATATCAGTTTACCTGATCATCCCCGGTAAACGGCGAACTCATTTATCCAATTGAATGTTCGTACAACAAGGACTTTTCCCTCGGCCCCTCATGTTTCAACAACCATGTTCACTTCAAGTAGTTCATTCATTTTGATATTCTCCCCGGTATCGTCAGGCCAGCTGTATTACTATTATAATCCTCCGTCTGAGTCGAGTTATTGGCGGGGAATGTGTCAGTATTCTGGGTGAACGAGCGAGAAGGGGTAATCTGACACCGATGTAACATCTTGTTTACATAGAAGAGTATAGCCAGTTGTTGCCAATATATCTGGAGCCCCGTGTAGTAAACACTAAACATATAGTCTGCACGCCCTAAGTCCTTCAAGTTTCATTGTAATAATATGTAGGTCCAGTTTGTTTGAGCTTGTTTTTAACTTTTTAACCCTGTGTTCGGCTACAAAAAGTGTGCGCGTGCTATATATGTGATATGACAGAATATATATAATATTCTCACACTATCTTCATGTGCCTTATACCTTATTATATCCTGACACGGGACAATAGTCCTCTCTCCTTTGTTTGCCTGTCACGTGACCAGCTTCTCAACCTCAGGAGCACCGTACTCTCGTTTTAATTGGATACCACGATTAGAATTAACAAAGGATCCTGCAGTTGGGAAGGGGAGTGGGTTGCAGCGAGCGAGCTCTCTTTTCATCGTCAACACAATAGGGTACATCCGGCTTAACCAGCCTAGCTACAGTGCCTTACATATTTACATCTACTTCTCGTTGTAGGGTTGCTCTAATTTTCTTTAGACTGTAGTGTTTGGGGACCGGATAATTCGTCCCTCCTGAGGGGTTATAAGGAACCTTTAGCAGTAGTGTCCCTCACTGTTGGGAGCTACACTCTGCCTGGTTTAGCAGTAGGATACGTGCAGCTCCCACTCCCCTGAGGTGTGAACACGACACTTTATATGCAGTGTAATGACCACACTCAATTACTCAAAATGTAATGTATTCCACTTTTACTACATATGTTTTGCCTTTCTTGGACACCCGCTTTTGCTGGAGTTATTACAAACTGTACTAGCTGCCGATACTTGCTACCTTTCTCTCTTAATTGGCGATCATAGTGGCAATTTATTTTCAGTCTTTGTGGAGACATTTTTAATTAGGTGGCGTCCCATATTTACGTGAACAAGTATTGTGCTACTCTTGGTAAGATTTACTAGCCTGTATAATGACAATCAGTACATATATCACCCTGGGTTTATTGAGGAAACCATATTGTTGTATCTTCTTCCCGAGATAGCCTACCATTGTCACGGCTAACTTACCGCTCTGTGCACTAATAAACCTAGGTCAGATCAAACTATCAAATGTAACAATTTAATAATTTGTCATTGTTTTACTAAGTGGTTTTTCAGACTGCCGTCTTCGAAATCAAAAGATCTTTTTCTGTCATATCTGTTCTCCGTTGTCTATTTCTTTCCATTGCACCTGCTCATTGATTGTGATTGTTTGAGCTTCCGAGATGATTCTTTAAGAAATCCGGTCAGTGGTTATTAATAGAGTTAGTATATATATATATATAGTTGGAATACCCCGTGACGGATGGATTCTTTATTAGCGCGTGTTTCGTATCAAAAAGTGGCCGTGGTTACTCGAGTATAACCACTGTAATTGTGGATGGTTTAGCGTGATCTTGATGATAATTGAATAATCGAGTGGCACTGCAGCTAAAACATCACACGGTCGTTAGCCTCAATATACATTCTATCTAATGACCCCCTTTTTTAATCTAATTCTCCCCTTTTTCTCTTCTCATATACGATGTACTTATGACATGCGATAGTCGGTGATATTGACGGTACATGCATAAACATGAAATGTAAATAGTATACACAACCTGTTCTATTTTACTTGGATATAAGTGTGATAATTTAATCACACTTAATCTTTAATCACGGCTTAGTGGCTCAGTTGGTTAATCCAGGCCTGGTATTGCTTGAGGTACCAGGTTCGATTCCCGACTCTGCCACTAGCCGTGGGGTGAGCGTCGTCGACGCTCAGCTAAGGATCCTGAGTGGTCTATGCAGCCCCCCGGTCCACTCAGCCAAATACTCGAGAAATCGGGTGTGAGGGTTAAATGAGGAGCTGCCCATTGCAGCAAAGTCTCGGGCGAAGAAAGTATGGTACACACTACCTTAACCGTCACTGGCCTAATGTATAATTGAATCCTTCGGCTTCCTGTAATTGGCTGGTTACACACTTGTGTAACAATGTGGCTGTTGGAATGTCCGAAGTAAAATAAGAATTGAGATAAAAAAAATGTGCAGTTCATTACCCCACTTACTACACAATCTATATCCCAATTTCTCACAATTTCCGACGATTACTCTCAGCTCAAACAGCTTTACTCCGTCATATAGTATACAATCTACATCTCTCTGTAGTCGAGCTAGCTTGCGCTGCAGTGCGATATTTGACCTATACTTGACTGTTGTTTTGCTTGTATTCGAGAAGCGTCATTATGCTGTTACATTTTCATCAGTATAACGTCTCATCTCTTCCTCCCCCCTCAACTTTCCTCCCTGAGTCATGTCTCCAAATGTTGCTGGTTTACAGTGTAGTGTTTTCCGCACCTCAACACTCATCAGAGTGACAACCTACACACTCCTCCCACTACTCCCACTCTTTTTGTGGGTGTAGTGGGAGTATTGCTGTGTAAGTATTGTGTCAGCTGCTCAGCTATTTGACCTTTTTTCCATTGTAGACCAGATACTTTTTATATTTATATATACTTGCTTATTGTGGTACCTTGTTAAGATGGCGCCTTTGGGGCCGCTCCTTGTCCCTTGATAGTATTGGTTTGTTTTCTCCCTTAGTGTGTACTGGAAATCTGTCATGAAATATAAGGGTGTGCCTTTATTCTGAAATGCTTCAGACTCTGATGATTTGCTTACTGTCGTTTAACAGAGTTCATCAGTACTGCTATACCTCACTCACTAGTCACTACAAACATAGTCACTCATCTGCCAATATGATATCATGTTATATTGATCGTATATGCTAGATTCTTGATAAATAATCAGAAATTTTCAGTAGAATCATATGATGATAGAGGGACGAAAGTTGTCTCCCCAAAATGTGGAAATGAAAGATGTAGGATAGTCGTGGAGTAGTCATTGTGGCCTTTCTCAGCCTGATTGGCTTTGTTAAGGCACGCTCGTCATGATATCTGTGTAATGCACTGCCTGGCCAGATAGGGACTTGTTATATTGCAGGTAATAAATCGTGCACTACTTGTCAAAAGTTAGAGGAATATGGCTTTTCATCAGGACTACTACTTTCTAAAGCCTACAGTTTTGTTGTGATTTTGTCTAATTTAATACTATTCTAGACGTGTTACCAGGGTAACCCACGTGTGACCACGTGTTACCTAGTGGGGGTTGAGCCAGCTGAGAAGCCATATCCTCTCCGTTGGGTCTGGACCAGAGCCCTGATCTTGGTTTAAAGCATGTCACATACACAGCTGAGGTTAACGAATCACGAAGCCTGGTATTACCTAGCCGTCCGTCTTTCTATTCAAGCACTTCGCAAATGTTCTATAATCTGGGAAAAAAACATCTCTTAATTGAAACCTCTCTACTAAATCTGGACTACTATACACTTCAATCACTAGCAGTCTCAATCTCAGTAACTCCTAGATCCTCTAATTTCAATATATTGTCAACATTTCTCCCACCTCTCTCTCTCTTTCCCTCAAAGTATTATGTGACATTGTGCAGCAGCAGCAGCAGCAGCAGCAGCAGCAGCAGCAGCAGCAGCAGCAGCAGCAGCAGCAGCAGCAGCAGCAGCAGCAGCAGCAGCAGCAGCAGCAGCAGCAGCAGCAGCAGCAGCAGCAGCAGCAGCAGCAGCAGCAGCAGCAGCAGCAGCAGCAGCAGCAGCAGCAGCAGCAGCAGCAGCAGCAGCAGCAGCAGCAGCAGCAGCAGCAGCAGCAGCAGCAGCAGCAGCAGCAGCAGCAGCAGAGCAGCAGCAGCAGCAGCAGCAGCAGCAGCAGCAGCAGCAGCAGCAGCAGCAGCAGCAGCAGCAGCAGCAGCAGCAGCAGCAGCAGCAGCAGCAGCAGGCCTTCTATCTCTTCTCACAATAAGAAATACATGTTAAGTACACGTCATAATACCCCGGAGCTGTGTACTGCAATTGTTTTACTTGGACCAGTACATGTCCAGCAACTGTGTAGAAACCCGTGTACTCCTTTATAAAGCGTGCCATCTGTAATTGTCTTGTACAATGATTAACTGTAACAATAACTGTGTGTAATGCATGATCGCAGAGCTGTCTATTCGTCAACCACAACACATTCATTAACCAGGTCAATCAATCCGTTCATTAAAATCTCTTGGATTCAACATATCCCGCTTATTACCACACCCTTCATTTCATAAAGTTTTCATGGGTTCAATCCTGTCCCGCAATTCAGATTGGTATATCCCACTCGTAGTATTTCCTATATGCTATCTGATAAACAAACTTGTTTCTTCCTTGCTGAATTAGCCCCCTTGCAAATGATATATTTGTTCCATTTTACCAGTAGCAGCTTTGTTCGGTAACGTGGCTACTGATTTGCTTTTGTGAATATTTTAATTCCGGGTTGGTAGCCATTAATCTTTGATTAATAATTTAACAAAGCTATTTCTAAATTTCAAAGATTGTGGGCTGTCACCTAATCAGCATATATACACAATTGATATCTAAATAATTCGTTTATAAGTGTGTCAACTGTCACTATATGATGATTTTAGCAGCGCAGATTTTTAACACCTATAGTGTTCCAAACGTATTTTGTTGATCCCAATTTTGATGATCCCAGATTGAACACTGAATGAAAACATTTTTTTCTCGGGCCATCGCAACGGAATCAATTTGTACTAAGAACTATTTTTGGGAAGTCCGTTAGTTGACCTTACAAGTGCACGCATATAGGACAATAAAAATGTGTATCAAGTTACATTTGTTTAACGATATGTGTCCTACGAGAACTTGTTACTACTCAGCCTAATCAATTACAATATTCCAAACCGGGTGTTAAATATGTTTAGACCTGACAACATAAAATCTTTCTAAACTTTAAAGTTCTAGGCACTAATTATACAGCCTATCAATTGTACCATGTTTTTCAGTGTTCGATCAGGATTGTCATCTCAAGTGTGGGTCAATAGAATAAGCCAAACTCTAATCGCAAATATAGCTCTATCTCCGTTTGAAGCTTAATCCAATTTATCTATCTCCCATTAATACATGGTATTTGCATGTTATTTACAGCACATTTTGCAGCACTTAGTACAATGACAGAAGCAGACTCGAGTAGATTACCCCAGACTGGGTCGGTAACGGTTAAGGTTCTTATACCCAACTATCTCGCAGGAGCCCTCATAGGTAAGGGCGGGGAAGAGCTCAACATAATCCGAAAACAAACAGGTGGAATTATCAAGTTGTCTCAGAATAAGGCCTATTATCCGGGTACCGATGAGAGGGTGGTCCTCATTAAGGGGAGGCCGGACTCTGCTTTTGCCCTGCTAAAACTCGTTCATAGTAAGATCAGGACGAGGAAAGCTCCTCCCATAATAAACGGTAGACCGTTTAATGAGATCAGGTTGCAGCAAATGAAGCTCATCATAGCCAACTCCACCGCTGGTAAGGTTATTGGAACCGGGGGAGAGGTGATAAAGATGATCCAGCAGGAACACAACGTCAAACTTTTCATCACCAACGTGGATAACCCCAAAGAGAAGCGGATCCAGAACGAAAGAATCTGCACTGTTAAAGGAGATGAGCTCTCAGTCAACAGGTGCATGATTGATCTGGTAGAAAGGATAGCAGCTGATGAGATGGCTGATTTGGACACTAACATAGACTATCCTAAGTGCGAGGACGGAGACGTGATCTTCGGAATGGAGAGGCCAGTATTCATGCCCGGTCTGGGAATGGGCATCTCCATGCCTGGTATGGCCGGTATTTCTTCCTTGGGTCCTTCCTACGAGGACTTGTTCATGCTGCAAGAACAAACCAAAGCTCTTCAAGCAATGTCAGGGTTATCACAAGGTCATGGCGGTGTGTTACAGGTTAACCCTCTAGCCGCGGGTATTCAGGGCATGTCCTCAGTGAATGGAGGACTCATGGGATCTCAACCTGGTTTGCAGTTAATGATGGATCCGTATAAAAGATTACTCGGACAGAAGCAGGATATGGAGATCCTGACTCCCGAGATGGCAATGATGAAAGACTTCAGTGGGAATATGGTGGTGGACCAGTACGCAGATCCGTGGCCTAAACAACAGCAGAACCAGCTCCAGTCCCTTCTCTTACAGAACCCAACACTGGCAGCCCAGCAGGTTGCAGCCAAACAACAGGCCGAACAGTACACTCAGGCTCCCCAGGAGCAATTCCTCATCCCAAACTCTTTGACTGGGTCTGTGCAACTAGGTCTTGGTAAAAGGTTCACCCAGGCCACCCCTACATCTGCTCAGCTGCTCATGAGTTGATCAACAGAGCCAACGGACTTACCACCTCAGGAATCTATCAGTCACCTCTCATGTCCCACGTGGCTACGTCCAATTCTATAGCTGCACAAACAGCAGCAATACAGCAAGCTGCCCAGAATGCTGCTATCCAGCAACAGATTCAGCTACAGGCACTGCAGCAACAGACTCAGCCGAACCCCCTCATTCAACAGCAGAACTCATCCCTCCAGGCGCTCCAGGACGCTCAGCTTCAAGTCCAGGCTCAGGCAGCTCAGATCCAAGCTCTACAGGCCCAATCAAACCAGCTCCACAGTAACAATGTGGCCCAAGCTCAGCTTCACGCCCAAGTACAGGCCCAGCTGATGATGAACCAGCAGAACGCAGCCGTGCACGGTCATCACAGCAGCAAGAAGCAGAGGTATCATCCGTATGGGATCCCACCCCCTCCTCCACCTCCCTCTGCTGTAGAAGCAGCTCCCATGCCCCCTAAACAGGTTTCTGTAGCTCCTCAGGTGCAAGCTCCCCCAACACCCTCAGTGGCTCCCACCATCTCACAGCCGGCTACTGCCGCCGCAAGCAGCTAGGCTTTTCTCGTCTTCAGCGATCCAGACTAGATATGAGATCACCGCGTTGCTTAGCAACCGTAACACGTAAGAAGAAAGACACCCTCTAATCTACCCAGTCAAAGATCCTTAGGTCTAGGAGTTGTTGTTAGGTCATTAATCCGAGATTTGTAAAATAGACACACGTCAAGTGTTGCGCGAGAATAGTTGGTCGGGCGATCGAGAGCATCGCTAGTTTGCAGAGGGTTGAAACTGAAAGAGAATTGGAAAATTTGTTTGTTTTATTTGTAAATTTATTTGTTTATGTTGAAATTATTATATCTTCGAATGACTGGAATGTTATTATTTATATATTCTGATCAATAGAAGAGTATCTATTGTAAAATCTCGCTTTTCATTTATTCTGTAGAGACTCAAATATTGACTTCATCAACAATGAACGTAAATAAAAAGAAAAATTATAAATGGATTAATGAGCAGAACGACAGTAAGAATGAAGAAGACTCTTTTATATTAATCAAGCTCAAATCTGAAATAAGAAATAAAAACAATACCTAAAATACAGCTTAGGGGTAGTTAACATATTACGTAATTGACAAAAATGTTTGTTGTCCAAACTTAATGAAAATTCATATACGAGTTCAAGGGACCACTAGCTACAAGTAGAGCACCTAATATCTGGATTTTGGGCATGTTCAGGGTATTTGGCTAAAATGGGCCTAATTTGGACAAAATATGGGCGTGGCTTTAACGGGTGATACTCGTAAAATATCTGTTCCAGGACCGTCGACGAGTCCAACTCGGCGCGCGTCCTGGTAGGTTGTAAACCTACAAGCGTGGCTGCCCCGCGGGCACTGTTTGGCGGTTGGGGTCCCCTTAAAAGTTTGGTCACCGGTCCTAGTTTGTTGTTCAACTGCTATCTCGAAACCAAGTTTGACAAAAAAATCAGGGTGAACCCCCCCCCCCCCCCCCCCCTTAATTTGCGAGCGTGCTAAATCACTCTACAGTCGATCTTCGAGATTGTTCTTAAAGGGCTCCCAACAGTTGAAACCAACTTCTATCGATGCGATGTATTTTGGCCTTGGACGCTGATTCTGAATCACCACCCCCTTGATTGACGATGTCAATCCTTCGCATCTCGCTGATCTGTGGTTGCGAGAAGCATTATTTGATGCGCGCGCGACCCAGTAGTGCATCGCGCTACAAGGTAAAAGTAAAAATGCTTCACGCGCGGCGCTTGTGTATTGTGGCTTGTATTGGTCAAACGTTTTTTCTCGCACAAGTTCAAAGTTGGATTTTTCAGTTTTTGGCCTAATATATAAAACTTTTACAGTTTCATGTTCAGTTATTACAAAACGTTTGATATTTTAGAAGTTATAGTTTAGACAATTTAAGCAAGAAATTATCCATTTTTGTCAATTTTATACATAAACATTTAACATTTGCAATGCGCAGGATAGGAGGCCCACATTGCACATACAATAGTTTTACTATTATACATCAGTTTCCAAAAATTTGTGATCTATTATATTGAGCTTAATATATCATATATACGAGCCCAAAAAATTTGACCAAAAAAATTTGACCAAAAATTTGAGCATAATTGTTTCAAAAAAATAAAATATTTTCCCCTAAAATTTCAATTACATCTATCAAACTAAGCGGCACATATGTAATAACTCACGTAATTCTTCTTAAAATTGCACAGAAATTTCAGAGATTATAGATATGGGTCAAACTTAGATTTCCTGCGAAAGTTTCGGCAAATTTAATCAATTACAGTGGGTGTGGCACGCCACTCCCTATTTTCTTGTCATACGTTGCATGTATGACCCGCCTGTATCGTAGAAACTCTACAGGGGTAGAGTTTCACCATAGTGAAACGACCGTGGGGGTCACGACGTGATACAATTCTTTTCCATGACTATGATTGTCACCATAAAGTGTATATTGACCTGCAAATCTCCGCACAGCTTTTAGTTTTAAAGACCATCACTATCCTCCAGCCAAGGGTTTAGTTCAGTAATCTTCGTCGAGCAGCTGCTGCAACCAACAAGTCCACCACTAGACTTCAATAATTCACGGTATTACGTTGCTAATTGCTTAATACAGGGTGGCCCATAAGTGACTACCCACACGCAACCTCTTAATAACTCACGTAATTCGTCTCCAAATTGCACCAAAATTTCAGAGATTATAGATATGGGTCAAACTTAGATTTCCTGAAAGTTTCGTAAGCCACGCCCAATTATAGTGGGCGTGGCGTGACACTCCCTCTTTTTCACTATTGTCTTCATAAAATGAGAACGCTTTAAGCTAAGAACTCAAAATTTTTTGCACACATTTGGCTTGATAATTGAAAACTTTTCCAAAAGTTTCAAGTTCATTGGTTAAAATATGGCTGAGTTATGACCATTTTAAAATCCATCGGATATGTGATCCGAGCACTCAGTCAGTGATATTTGCACTCAATTAGTGATCTCGTCACCCAATCTGATCAAGAGTAAGGCGTTAGCGTGTATTAATGAGGTTCATTAGGCTTTGATTGGATACCGATGATGACTTTGCTAGAAAGGAAAACACAAATTTTTAGGATAAATCAATAAATGAAATCAACCTCAAAGTAGGGATCCACATTCTGCTTCGACAGGAATGTGTTGGCGAAATCTATCCTCGATTGGAAATCACGGTCCAAAAGTTTGTGTTTCTTTGTGATTCGGTAGGCCCGGTTAGAAAGGTCTTGCTTTAGGATTCGCTGAAGGGTTGTTCTGTTGATGTCTAAGGCAGGAGCTCGTTTCCGGGTGCCAATCTTAGGTGTGTCCATCACGTCACCAACAACCATCGTGATGTTTTCTACAGTCCTCGAAGTTCGTCTTCTGCCGACTCTTCGCCGATCGTGTGCAGAAAACGTAAACTTGATCTTGTGATGAATGTCAAAGCAGCTTTTCCGGCAAGGGGGTGGTCGGTTGAATTTCATCTAAAATTGTCGTTTAATCTGAGGGTAGAACACCCCATTTTCTTTCTTCAGGTAGACGAACAATCGTTGTTCTGCAGTAAAGGGAGGATAGTGAACCATTTTCGATGATTCAATGGATGGTTTATTCCTTTTTATTGATTGTAAGGAACCTGTGACTAGCAGGGCTAACAAGCCCTGAAATGGTGACACCACCATAAATTCGTGTGATAGCGTTTTAGGTGCTGTCAGCTGTATAGGCCGGCCCATAAGCAGGCTGCAACCAATCAAGCGGTGCATGTGAGCCAAACAGGCCATTAACCAAGTGACGAGATCACTGACTGAGTGCTCGGATCACGTATCCGATGAGTTTTGAAATGGTCATAACTCAGCCATATTTTAACCAATGAACTTGAAACTATGGGAAAAGTTTTCAATTATCAAGCCAAATGTGTGCAAAAAAGTTTGAGTTCTTAGCTTAAAGCGTTCTCATTTTATGAAGACAATAGTGAAAAAGAGGGAGTGTCACGCCACGCCCACTGTAATTGGGCGTGGCTTACGAAACTTTCAGGAAATCTAAGTTTGACCCATATCTATAATCTCTGAAATTTTGGTGCAATTTGGAGACGAATTACGTGAGTTATTAAGAGGTTGCGTGTGGGTAGTCACTTATGGGCCACCCTGTACATAAGCTCTAAACTGTCGATATGGAGTCTCATGTTAATAAACATAGTTTATCCCGATTTAATTGGCACTTACCATTACATTCATTTTAGCATATACAGATTTTCTCATGACGTCTCTCAACCTATGTTATGCCAGGGCCCAGGACCCAGAACTGATCGGAGTTATTTTAGAGTTGTGCTTCACCTTTGGCTTTAACTCTTGATTTCTGCAAATCTAGATTTACCGCGGACGTTTTTCCCGTTTAAAATTGCTAAAAACTTATTTTTCATTTTGGTCTAATAATTGTGTTTTCGAGCCATACGCAAAAATTCGCTGCTACTCTCTGTAATTACAATTACATAAGTCTTCATAAATCTTAAAGTTAAAGTTAAACATTAGCATTGGGCTACAAGGAAATGACACTATCTGTAATTACATAAGTCTTCATAAATCTTAAAGTTAAACATTAACATTGGGCTACAAGGAAATGACACTATCTGTAATTACATAATTCGTCATAAACCTTAAAGTTAAAGTTAAACAATCGCATTGGGCTACAAGGAAATGACACAAAATGAGTACCTATAAGTATAACATATAATAATTCGACGAATCTTGTGAGCTTGGCTCTCCCATTGCACACCTTTCTTGTCTTTACTAACTGGCTCGTTTATAGAATCTTAATGTTCAGATTATTTTCTTTTACTTTAAAAGAGAAATTAAGATTTTGTGACAATAAGCACGTAGAATTGTAGGTATATTATCATTTTTTCATTATCTTTTCTTACAATAATAAGATTAAGAAAAGATAATGAATAAATAATATTAGGTGTGTAGGATTTCAGAAATTTCACAACTCACATAATTATTGTGCATTAAATTTCTATTCCGTTAACATTGGTTAGCACTTTTTGGCCAGTCCCAATCAACAATCAAAATAACCTTCATAACTGGACTATAGTTAGATATATACCGTTTGGACTGTGGTCTCTGCATATTATAGAGTGACCTGCAATTCTACAGGATCACCCGAACTCTTATAGGACACAATTATCTTCCATATCAAGGATTTAGAACAGTAAGCTGCGTCTTGTAGACTGGGCCGGCAATTCCACCACTTCAATAATTCAAGGTACCAAGTTTCTTAGTACAGTAAGCTGCGTCTTGTAGACTGGGCCGGCAATTTAGTGTAATATGTAGGCTGCAGTTTTAGAGTAGTTTTAGCAGTTGTGTAGATTGTAATTTAGTGATTAATATGACCGTTAGTAATGAGTGTAGATTTAGGTAGTTAAGTGACCACGTGGTATCACGTGGCGCGTGTCGATAACGCATTTCTGGACACGTTAGGATTAGTTCTGGAAAAGCTCTTTAGGTGACGTGTTTAATCAAAGTGTTAACCGCTGATCTAGAACGCCCAACGTGGCCCGTCTTGCCACAGTTTAAGTTGTGATTGTTGATAATATCTTTATATTCATCATTCGAACGTTATTACTCGATTCAACTGTTTCCTTTGTTCAACTCTAGCTTAGGACCGAATTGTAGCATTTGAACCGTTTGATTCACAGTACCGCACTTGGTTGCATGTATGTAGTAGTCATATCAGAGTAATTGGCAATACAAGTTATCGTGATTGTCGTATTAACGTAGAGTTCAATACTTAGTTATTGTGAGTTATTGCAGTTGTCAGTCGCTACAACGACTGAGAGTATAGTGTGTAGTGAGAGACTTGTGAGCAGGCACTGTTTACCATTGGTACGCCGCGGAGG